ACTTATCCATAATAATGTGATCTCCATCTGGGCTGCTACCAGGAAATGGATTATTAATGGCTTAAACAAAATGTCATGTGCTTAATTATCAAAGTAGGTTGTCCACCGTCTTGCACTTGACTTCCGGTTCATGGATCTTTGGCGTTTCAGTAAGAGAGAAATGCCAGAGTTGGAGACTTAGAGGGAGAGAGGGGGTCCTGTTAGCCTGAAGTCTGCTGCCCCTCTTCTAAAGTTTCTTTAACATTTTTGCCTTCATGTAGATAAATACATTAGATAATAGCTTATTCATCTCCATTATGTCCTAAGATCTTTAAAGCTGGAGAGTAGGAAGAGATTAATTTTTAATACATTTTTATGCTTTTTCATTTCCTATTGGCTTTCTACATTGTTACTGCCCTGGTTCCTTGGGTTTCCATAACATGTTTTTAAAAACACCCCCCATCCCCACCCCCAAAAAAGGTACTATATCAAGCACCCAGAAGAATTTTGCTCATTTGGGGTCACCTTTGAAGGATCTGTGGTGAACTGCTGAATGCTGTGAATCTGTGATCTGCAAACGTAAGCTCGCCAGATGTGCTTTGTTCACTTATTTTGACAATTATGGTTCTGTTTAATTATTTAGAATAGGACTTCATAGTGTTCCAGTAAATGCTCTGGAGGAAATGTTGTTGGTTTTTTAAAAAGAAAAAATGCATAAGCAAAGTGGTGACTTCCCTTTTAAACGCTTGTTGAGAAGTCTGGGGAGCGAAGTAATCATCATTTGGGGCAGCTTTAGAGATGTGAGGATTTCCATTGTTTTGTTCCCTTTTTTGTCCCTGTCTTGGGGATGGGATATGCATTCTTCATGTTTAATTTCCTTGCAGATCAGAATGCAATTCCCAGCCATTTTATGCAATTATCTCTATCTTGCTATGCATTTTTGGTGTACAAAAGATTGCCAAAAATATGCATATTTTACATAAAAGATGCATACAAATGTGTGTTTTCCTGGTGGATGCACTGGAATGATTTGAAAAAGGTATACAAAGGAGTAAAACTCCATGCTACATGATATTTCTGCTGCATAATTTTTATATGTATCAATGCATACACACACACACACACACAAACAGTTGTACGTATCTGTTTATATTCTGGTCACTCTAGGAAAGCTGAAGTGTATATAACTATAGTATGCATACCATATTGTATGTTTAATAATATAGTATATTGATGCATATAATACTGTAATATAGTACAGTGGTACGTCAGGTTACAGACGCTTCAGGTTACAGACTCCGCTAATCCAGAAATAGTACCTCAGGTTAAGAACTTTGCTTCAGGATGAGAACAGAAATCACGCGGTGGCGGCAGCAGTGGGAGGCCCCATTAGCTAAAGTGTTACCTCAGGTTAAGAACAGTTTCAGGTTAAGAACGGACCTCCGGAACGAATTAAGTACCGTATTTTTCGCCCTATAGGACGCACTTTTTCCCCTCCAAAAATGAAGGGGAAATGTGTGTGCGTCCTATGGGGCGAATGCAGGCTTTCGCTGAAGCCTGGAGAGCGAGAGGCGTCGGTGCGCACCAACACCTCTCGCTCTCCAGGCTCCAGGAAGCTATCTGCAAGCCTTGCGCACCCGGGGGGAGTTCCCCCCGGGCACGCAGGGCTTGCGGGCGGTAGCCTGCAGCGCGGAGCACAGGGCGCCCGCCGGAGGACGCCCCGTGCTTCGCGCAGGTGTCGGCAAGCCTTGCGCACCCGGGGGGAAATCCCCCGGGAGCGCAAGGCTTGCGGGCGGCAGCCTGCAGCGCGGAGCATGGGGCGCCCTCCGGAGGATGCCCCGTGCTTTGCGCAGGTGTCCACAAGTCTTGCGCTCCCGGGGGAACTCCCCCCGAGTGCACATGGCTTGCGGGCGGCAGCCGGCAGCGCGGAGCATGGGGCGCCCTCCGGAGGACGCCCCGTGCTTCGCGCAGGTGTCTGCAGCCTGCCGCCCTGCGCGTGGGGCGCCCTGAAGCAGAGCGCCCCTCACGCCGGGCAGACATCGGCCAGTCCCACAAGCTCGGGGGACAACGGGGAGGCGCAGCGCCACCATCCCACTGTTCCCCGACCTGGTTTTGGGGGGGAAATAAAGGAAAAAAAATTTTCCTTTATTTCCCCCCCAAAAAAGTAGGTGCGTCCTACGGGACAGAGCGTCCTATGGAACGAAAAATACGGTACTTAACCCGAGGTACAACTGTAATGCATATCATTATTCATATTTTAGGGTAAACAAGGAAGTAACTTGCTTCCTGTTGATATAAACAGAATGAGATGAGAATTAGGAGGGGGAAAATCTGTGTGGATAATTCAACACATAGATTTTCAGAAAATCTGATTTTTTAAGCACATAAGCACTTAAGACAAGCCTGCTAGATCAGGCCAATGGCACATCTAGTTCAGCATCCTGTTCTGACTGTGGCTGACTATATTTCAGTGGGGAGCCTGCAAGCTGGACATGAGTGCAACAGCACTCTGTCCACCTGCAATTCCCAGCAACGAGGCATAATTTTTCTGAGGGAAGGTAATGTTGAAAGTTGTGGTAGGGTGGCTGCAAGGATTCTTGCATGATGCCCATTATTTAGATCTGTTTCAGTCTGGGTTCAGGCCTGACCATGGGACACAGTCACCCTTAGTCTCCCTAATGGTTGATAATTTTGAAAGAGGGACAAGAAGAGTGAGACTTTTCTCCTGGTTCTTGATTTCTCTATGGCTTTCAGTACCATAGACCAGGCATAGGCAAACTCAGCCCTCCAGCTGTTTTGGGACTACAACTCCCACCATCCCTAGCTAAGAGGATCAGTGGTCAGGGATGATGGGAATTGTAGTCCCAAAACATCTGGAGGGCCGAGTTTGCCTATGTCTGCCATAGACCATGGTATCCTCCTTGACTGGCTCCATGGAAGGGGAATTGGGGGCACTGTGTTGTAGTGGTTCCAGTCCTACCTGTGGGACATGTGGAGAGAGGAGCACTGGGATAGCAATTTCAAGTTCCCTGGTGGTTATACTTTGGGAAGCCACAAGGCAGTATTCTATCCCTATTGCTATTTAATATCTACATGAAGCCTCTGGGCATGGTCATTACAAGTTTTGGGGAGAGGTGCCATGACGTTCAACTCTGCTTCTCCATTTACATTCATGAGATGTCGTGTGGACCCCGGAAATATGTTCCTACTGTACTATCAGCATTTGTTTGAGAAGGCAAAGGATCAGGCGCCAGATGGAGTAGAGAGTGAAAAGTAACAGGGTGTTGGGATGCTGTTATATGTGGCAGGCAACCTGCCCTGCACCTCCTAAGATGCCTGCTGCCCTCAAGTATGGTGGTAGATAAGAAGCTATACTGAGTCCAGAATATTAGTCCATCTAGCCCAGTATTGTCTACACTAACTGGCAGCTGCTCTCCAAGGCTTCAGCCAAGGGTTTCTCTCAGTGTTGGGGATTGATCCTGGAACCTTCTGAATGCAAAGCAGATGCTCCACCACTCAGCTAAGACTCTTCCCTAAATATGGTCCCATAATTCAATGTCCAGATAAAACACAAATGCCAATAGCAGCAAAGTGTCTTGATCTGGTTCTAAGCTTCCAACACCAGCAACTTAACTTCAGGTCTGAAGAACACATGTGCTGTGTCTAAATTCAGGTACAACCTCTTACACCACCAATCTCACCTTGTCTCAACAGGCACTTCTGTTCTTCAGGATGGTACATGCAGTGTTGACACCAGGTTTTGGTGAAGTCTTGGGGCATAACCGCTTAGTCAAAATGTTTCAAAATGTTTATTCGGCTTTACGCCCATCATAAAACACAACATACAAAACAAATCAAGTAAAACAGCGGTCTCGTATAAGCCACAAGTAATATAACACAATTCACAGCTCACAAGGACAAATATTGGCAAATCAAAAACAGAAATTTAAGATTAAAGTTAAAAATTTAGGCACTACACTAAAATCAATATCTGATGTCAATATCAAAAATTCTTATAACTATCAATAATCAGCTAACATTCCATTCCGTCTCTTGTACGAGAGAACGGCTGTTAGAAATTTAGCAACCTGTAGAGTAATATAAGGATCTACATCTTGAAGAACCCAGGCAAGCTGTAGGTCTACTGGTTTGTCAGCCATAGGCTGGATTATGGAGTTTAGTATACTAGCACGAACTGAACTGTACATAGGGCAGATAAACATAACATGATGTAAAGATTCAGATGTTTTCATTTCACAAGCACACATTGAAGGGACTTGGCCCTTAGTGAATCTATGTCTCAGGACGTCACAAGCACACATTGAAGGGACTTGGCCCTTAGTGAATCTATGTCTCAGGACGGGCATAACCGCTTACATGGCTATTCTGCTGTCACTGCCATTATCACCAGCTGTTGAATGTCTTCCTCTTCCTCATTGCCACCTGCTCACTAACCAGGCAGAGTACTGATGAGTAAGCAGGCAGTGGCATCTGCTCCACTGTTGTTTGTGCCACAGTGAGAGGCAGATGAGCAAACAGGTTGCAATGTTGAAGAGGAGGAGCAGGTCGAGGGGGTTCTTGACTGTGCCCGGCCACTCTGACATTCAGCACCAGTCCTGGATCCATGCCAATAATGCAATACATACTTCAGCTGCTGCATTGTAACCTAAATTCCAGGAGAAGGGGAATAAATGAAAAATATTGTGGTTTTTTTCAAAATTCCTTGGTTGGCTGATTGGCATTTGTTGCTGTTTGAACATAAGGTGGGAAATAGAACAACTCCTACAGATATATCATCTGTTTCACATTCTGTAACACTTTTAGGTGGGAAGCCATTATTGTTCCAAAACTGGCAAAGGAGAATTCACTGTACATGCAAATCTGAAGCAATCCATTTCAAGAAACACATCAGAATACTTCCAATTTATGTGCCAATAGAGACAGTAAACTGACAAGAAACAGAGATGAAAGTTCTTTAAACATTTCAGCTTTTTTGAGACACAAACATTTTTGGTCTGCAGAATTTTCGTCAAGCTGCAGCTGGAGAGAATCCTAAATGGCTCCCATGAAGACTTTAAAAACTCCCATTTCGCTTACCCAGTAAATATTCTACAGAGAACTCTGCGCGTCTTCAATCCCACTGGCATTACCAGCTGCCAATCTCCACAATCCATTTTAGCTCAGAAACAGCTTAAAACTCCCATTGAAGCCTTGAACTTCTGGATGCCGTGTGCAGAAGGTACCCTCTTACGGTTTGGGGTTTGCTTCTTCCTCTCTTTTTCGTTCCATAAATAAAATGATGGTCTGGCCCCCCTATGGGAGGAGGGAGGGAAGTAAGAAAGCAAAATTGTCCATTCTACCCTGTATCCATCGCATGCAGAACTGCTTTTGTTCTGCAGCAGTTCTTTTCTGCCATGTTATTTTTCTCGCTGTCTTTTTCAGTGGCAAAAGTACATAACTTACATAATTATTTACATTAAATGGCATGGTTATGTTGCTATTATGTTATTGCATTACATTCATTTCAATGCAAAAAAACACACACCAAAAAAACAACATCAACACCAAAGCAAAAGGGGGTCAAAGTCAGAAAACCTTGGTTGGCCTCAGACAGCCTGGCCATCTGGCCTAGTTTGAAGACTTGACCATCTTGGGAGTGGAAGATAGCTGGAAGAGGCACCTCCCACTTGCAGCACACTGAATGTTTGTGCAGACCCCCATGCTAAATCATTCAGAGACATATTGTTTGTGAACTGACAGTAGCAGCAACAGTAAATACCAATCCTATCTGCAAGATTCATTTCCATTCAGCACATAATAGGTATAAACAAACATCAGCAACTTCTGCTCCCTTTTGTGTCTTCAACAGACACCCCCACCTGGGGACAAGTCCCACTAAAGACAGTAAGATTGCACCGTTAGTAATTTAGTGAATGCTTTCAGACTCACCAAGTGTCCCTATTTTCCAGGGACGTCCATGGTCTAGAGAAGCCACCCCGGTTTCTGAATTGTTCCCAGAATGTCTCACTTTTCCTTAGGATGTCCCTATTTTCATTGGAGAGATATAGGAGGGTATGGTAGGATGTCCCTATTTTAATCGGAGAAATGTTGGAGGGTATGGAGTTACCCTAGCCCCAAGCTGTTTGAAGGCAATCCTGTATAAGTAAGGTTGTTGTTTTTTTTAATGTGTAATGTTTTATTATGTTTTTATATATTTTGGAAGCTGCCCAGAGTGCCTGGGGAAACCCAATAAGATGTGTGGTGTAAGAATAGGAAAATTACCATTATGAAATGGGATGTCCCTATTTTCATCAGAGAAATGTTTTAGGGTATGTGCTTTAGAATGTTTGCTTTGGTTATCATTACGAGCAAACCTGTAAGATATGTCACTGCAAAGCTTGCAGTTTTGTTACTTCCTCCATGATGCTTCCCATGTTGGTCCAGGTGCATATGAAGCAGCCTCCATCAACCTGGTGCCCTCCATATACAACTTCCATCAGCCTCAGCCAGCATGCCTCATCATGAACATGAGTTGTAGTCCAAAACATCTAGGAAGCACAAAGTGCTTTGCCACCCAAAGTGCTGCCTGCATGGTTCAGAATCATGTCACTCCTGCTTATCTGGATGGAGAATAGAAATGGGTGTGTGAATGTGTGGAGAAACTAGGCAGTTCTGCAAAAGTAATATTTACTAGAGCTTTGCAACTGATCTGGTCAAGTCCCAAACCAAATTGGTCCAATTTGGACTGAATAAGTGCTTCTCTGTATTGGTGTGGAATAGTGTGTTGGACTAGGTCGCAGGAGACCTTTTTATGGGGGACCATTTTATGTCTTGGGCTTGCCGATCAGAAGGTCAGTGTTTCGAATCCCCACGATGGAGTGAGCTCTCATTGCTCTGTCCCAGCTCCTGCCAACCTAGCAGTTCAAAAGCATGCCAGTGCAAGTAGGTAAATAGGTACCGCTGCGGTGAGAAGGTAAAGGGCGTTTCCGTGCGCTCTGGTTACTGTCATGGTGTTCCGTTGCACAAGAAGCGGTTTAGTTATGCTGGCCACATGACCCAGAAAGCTGTCTGTGGACAAACGCCGGCTCCCTCAGCCTGAAAGTGAGATGAGCACTGCAACCCCATAGTCACCTTTGACTGGACGTAACCATCCAGGGGTCCTTTACCTTTTAAATTTTACCTTTTTACCTCTCAGCCTAAGCGGTCTCACGGGGTTGTTTGTGAGGATAACTTGCAATGCCATATCGAGCTCTTTGGAGAAAAGGTAAGATATAAATGCAATGTACAGTGGTACCTCGGGTTACATACACTTCAGGTTACATACGCTTCAGGTTACAGACTCCGCTAACCCAGAAATATTACCTCAGGTTAAGAACTTTGCTTCAGGATGCGAACAGAAATCATGCTCCGGCGTGGCAGCAGCAGCGGGAGGCCCCATTAGCTAAAGTGGTGCTTCAGGTTAAGAACAGACCTCCAGAACGAATTAAGTTCTTAACCCGAGGTAACACTGTATAATAATGATGACTCCAGATTGTTCCAGAGTGAATTGAGTGTAGATTCAATATTATTATTATTATTATTATTATTATTATTATTATTATTATTAAATCTTAAAATTGCCAAGAAAATCTGATAGCGAGGCTTCTAACTGGTAGCCAGAAACAACAATTTAGTAATTCATCAGACTGCACTTTTTAAAAAAATAAACTAGAAACTTAATCCTGCCCTTCAACCCCCCATTCCCTTTTAGTCAGTGAAACAATAGATTTGTGCTATCATTTAGAAAACCTTGGGATGTCCATGCCAGATTTTCAAAGGCACTGAACACTGCAGGTTTCAGGGAGGCTTCAAGGTGATGAGAGTGCCAACATTGGCGTTCGTTACAATAGCTCATCACAGCTGAAGAATATAAGAAATTCCAAAGGGGTAAAAAAAAAATCCCCAAAGACACGTCCATAGCTTATCAGTCTGAATTTGCACTGGCATTAAAAACAAACAAACGAGGGGGGGGGGGGAACCAAACAACACCCACACAAACATCCAAAGGCCTACACCGCCGCACAGAGGGGTTACTCTACGGTGACATTTTTAAAGGATGTTTGCTTTTAAGGGAGGGATGAAGGATGAAGCATTAGTATCAAACCTCAATTATGTTCAACTCCAAAACGAAAGGATGAGAGATAAGAGCCTTGCCTATCTGAAAGGAACCTGATGGGTGCTTATACATTTTTAAATAATGTTTACTTCTACAACACAGCAATTGCTTTGGAAATTACCTTCTCACAAACAGAGAATTCTATCTATTTTCGACATTATGAAGGAGCTGTCTGCTTTCATGTATTGGTGTCATATATATATATATATATATATATATATATATATATATGCATGCTACGAGTCTTTATTTTTAATGCATTTATTTCCTATCATGAAAAAAGTCAGAAAAACACACACATTTTCCCCCTTTACTAGCTAAGAACATCCACATCAAAACAGATGTTATTTGCTTCCATCTTTTTTAACAGGCAATTCTTTGAATTGTACAAGGCTGAGAAGGTTGCAGCCATCAGATCTCTCTCTTGCAAGCATCCAAGTTGTTAGGATGCTCCCATAATAACTGGTGCATTCATTCAGATGCATTAGAATTGTCAAGAGTGCTTCTCTGGAAGATGGAAATCCGAATTTTGCTACTGGATAGGGTGACCATGTGATCCACTTTACAGATGACAATACTGAATAACTACTTCTGCTAAAAAACCATACTCCTCCCACTGTGAACCACCTCCTGATAGCAGGCATTACATCATGATTCTGCAGCCCAGGAAGGGATTCCGGGTCATCCCAGTGATGTGGCCTACAGACCAGAAGCTTTGGTTTCCTCCTCACCTCAAACTTTTCCATCCCAGCTGCCTATTAGAACAGCTTCCAACTAAGAAGCCTTAACTCGCTTATTTCCTCCTCACTCCCAATCCATTTTCCTTTCTTGCCATGTATTTATATATATATATATTGTAAACCCATCTGATTTTACTGATTTTTTAAGGTGCTCTGATAACATTTTTTAGCTGATTAAAACTTGGGGGTGGGGTGGGGGGAATAATCTTAAATAAACAAAGTTTATTTGGAGAACTGATCTGCCAATGTCTAGTTTAAAGAAACCTGAGAAAAGAACAGGGGCCTTGGCATTGCCCATCCACAAATATGCACATATCTTGCAAACTGGCACCCCCCCTTTTGCTTGTTCAGACCCAGAGGCCTCCCCCCAAATAAAAACACATTTGACTCAAATTTTAGTTAGGTTTTTTGGCAGAATTTAGGCCACAACTTTATTGATTACAGAAAGTGAGTGGTTGCATAGGCTCTGGTTCAACTAGCTCCCTGCACCCTTGCAGGTAGCGCTGACCCAGAGCTCTATCATAGGTCAGCCAAGGGTGAACACCTGAGGTAGGTAGAAAGCCCGGGTACATGCTATGTCCACTCCCCAGATGCTCCCCTGGACTCAGGCACAGGCACAACCCCCTCTCGGGGGTTGACCAAACCAAGTTGAGTCCCTGGATTCCTTTAACGGAATACCCTTCACATAGGGATGGCGAGACCGTTCCCCCATCCCTATCACCTGAACCAATGCCTATCCGCCACATGAGCACCCATGCTAACCGCCAACCACTCACCCTGTAACCAATCCCTTAGCCCTGCTGACACTGAGGTCAGCAACAAATCATTCCCAGTTACAGACAGATGAACCCCATCAAGCCTATAAAGGGACGCATCACGGAAGATAATGCCCAGGTGACAGATCACCCAAGGCCAAAACCTTCTTGGCCACTGCGCTCTGCACGCGCCTCCTGGCCCTCTTGGTGGCAGCTGGGCATCGGCTACCTCGCCACACACATCGCTGCAACAGCTGCGCCCAAAAAAATTTGAGTCCAGGAAGAGCTGCCTTCAACTCTTCCAAGTCCTCCTGCATGCGGGTCCGCAGGCTCAAGCCGGGAGCTTCTGGCAAATTGTTCTCACCCAGCTGCACCACCACTGCCGCAGACACCTTCGCCCACACCATTGGGAGAAACTCCACCCAACACATTCCTCGTCTGGACACCCAAGAGATGTGCACATGGTCGGGGAGCCTGAGCTTGCGTCTGAATCCAGACTCCGCTGCTCTAATGCCGGCCCAGTGTACAATGCTGTGCCCGACTATCCAGACGTGCAGGGCAGGCAGACCTATAATAAACAAAACAACAT